GGAGGTATTGAAATGGAGTAAATAGGCTTGATGTGGAAGGAGAAGAGAATAAGGAAATGGCAGCGAGAATAAGCAATGAAAGACATACACATTTTAGGTTAGTGAATCTTTTCATTTATTTATATCTATTTTAGGATTTTCCGGCAGATACCTTGTATCTCTGATATTGGGAGATAGTAGTTAGATACTTATTTTGAGCCTATAGTATGTGTTGTATTAATATTACAGACTACAATGGATTCTATAGTTCAATGATTGAAAATGAAGGGGAAAATATAGTTCACAATTATGCTGCACACAAAAGCCTTCAAGGTCTCGGGATTTAGCAGAAGCCCTACCCCTGGCTAATTTACCTAGAATTGGAAAAATTTTAAATGTTGCTAACAATGCTCAGACCCGCGTATAATCAGCAGAGCTCTACTTCTCCTTCTTCTCCTAATGTCATCCTATGCTATATAAAATAAATCAGATCCATTTGGAACAGAGAGAAGGGGGAAAAGAAGCAATTTGCTGAGTCTATGTATGGTCCTAGGCACAGTGCTGTCAAATGCATCAGCTGAGGTTGGGAATTCTGCAGAATCACTCCAAAATATTAAGGCCATGTCTATTTCATTATGAAAAATCTTTTCAGCTTCATGACAGGTTTCAGAGTAGCAGCCGTGTTAGTCTGTATCCGCAAAAAGAACAGGAGTACTTGTGGCACCTTAGAGACTAACAAATTTATTAGAGCATAAGCTTTCGTGGACTACAGCCCACTTCTTCAGCTTCATGATTCTTAAAATTAATGGATTATAAAATGTCCCTATGCACCTCAGTGGATAATTTAAAAAATCATCAGTGTCTTAAACTTAGTTAACTAATGCTAATTGTGATTATTTCATAAGATGGACACTGCACATACAAAGCAAAAAGTTTGTGTTTTGCTACTATTTTAATTCTTTTCCCAATATCTGTTTCATTTTCCTCTTTAGCAAAGGCATGTACACTCCATGTACAATCAAGACATCTAATATGGCTTTGCCAGCATTATAGTCACAGGATATTTTAAAAAGAAAAGAAAAGGCTCAAAGCACAGGTCCTGCTGTGCAACAAAGTAATCAAATTCCTTCATAGCAACAAGCTGATGAGCTTCAGCAATCTAAGGAATAAGAAATAACCATTCCAGTAGCTAAATCGTGAAATGCAACAGTGCTTATTGAGCAACAATCTCATCTGTTCATTCTTTTGGTCTATTATTTAAATAATAAATAGAAGAGAGCTTATTTTAACCAAAAAAAAAAAACAATAAAGCCCCCTCATTTCAGTTTTCTTAATTTTGCAAGACAATGGCTGACATTAAAATTTCTAGTGTCCTGGAGCATCACCATAGCCTTGGCAATTTATAAAATTCCTTAGTTTCATCTAATAATTTAAACCTCTCCTCCCCCATATTTTGAGGTGAAATTTATTTCACGGTTACCCTTTATACCATATTTATTTAACTGATCATTTGATTTTCTTCAGTCTCTGCCACAACACTCAATTTACAAAAGCATTTGCATCAATATAGGATGTAGAGTCCATATCATAATCTTCCAGTTTCCAGTGCAATGTTTCAAAAGTGGGCCGTCCTTTGGGCTCTGCATTCCAGCACTCCAGCATAATGTTATAGAGCTTATCTGGGCAGTTAGCTGGCTGAGGGATTCTGTATCCTTTATCCAGCTTCTGGATTACTTGGTAGCCCATCATACCTGAAATACATTTATAAAAAAAAAAGAAGAAGAAGAAAGAGGAAATTATCAGAAAGTGGCTCAATTTTTGCATGCACAACTTTGCATGCACATATCTCCTGTGCATGCAAAATTATAATGTCTACATACACAAAACCCAAACTGGGTGTAAAAATGGGTGTGTATGTGCACATACAAGGACAGAGCACAAGACTGCACAAATGTAGGGCCACATGTGAATCTCTTTTAAGACCAATTTTCAAAAGTTCTATGAATCTGTTTATTTTTTGCAGATGTTTACCTGTGAATCAGTTTTGCTCATTAAAATGTGTTTATTCCCAAAATGGCCGAAGTGTGGCTGAGTGACTAGCATATGGCCTATTGCCAACCTTTCCTTTAATATACAGATACAGCCCATGGAAACTACAACTCCCAACATGCTAAGCTGCTTGGATTAAACACACTTCAAATCAGAACCTATTGTCAATATGGACTGCACCTCTGAATTATAGTAAGGGTGGCTGCATATTACTCCTTTTGCAAACTAAATGCAGCACTTGGGCTCCTGGCAGTTACCAAATATGGCTGCAGGATAGGGGGGGGAATAGGTGCCCCTGGTTTAATTCCTTCCTGACTTATTGCTCAGTGGGAATTTATAACATTCACACCACACCTTTCTAAAATTGCTATAAGGGCCCCTGCTAAGCAACTAAAATAGTCACAAAGTGATTCCAGTGAGAAACCTCTTTTTATAAAAGTTCTCATTTCAGAGCATGTGTTTGTTGTGTTGACACTCCTTGTTCAGTGTTGTAATGTTTGGTTACTGAGACCAAGTAGTGGAACTGTTTGAAGTGTTGGTGTCACGAGTAGCCGTTGGCTCTGAAGTTTTGACAGAGAAAGCTTAACCAGCAGCTGTAAGAGGAAATGGAAAAAGAGTATGTGCGTAGAATAGATGTAAGCACCTTTGACCTGTGATGAGTGGACTCAAGATCTAAGCCACTGGGTAAAGGGATTAGAAAAGCCACTGAGACCTACTGCATCTGGAACATTGCCTAGCCCTTCCATAAGCAATCAGAGCATCTACTGGTTTTCATACGGTAATGACCCTTTCTCTCGACTGGCTACTGAGGACATGGTCCTGAAAATGACATTAAGGAAGCAAACAATTATGGCACAGGGACTTACATTTTCAAATGTGAAGGTTCACATAGGCTATGCCCTAGATAAGCACAGACCAGAGTGTGCTTTTATAAAGCAAAGACGATGGGCCTTATTTTGCTTTATATTTTCAGCAAGGGGAGTCTTTTCCTTGCTACTTGTTCCACAGCATGAAACCCATCTGTGATGGAGTGTCCACTCCTCCCAAGGGCTGAAGGGTAAAATAGGCCAATGAACCTATAGGCTGCACCTGGAGGAAAGCGCTAAGGAATAATTGGCTGATGAAGCCCAGCTGGGGGCAGAGGTGCGCCGGGGTTATAAAGCCAGGAGGCTGGTAACAGAAAAAGACTGTAAGAAGGTAGTCTATAGTCACTCCCTGGGAGAAGGTCGGTGTGGTTGGGGCTACAGAGGCAGGTAACTTACGGTTACTCCATCAGAGGAGGGAGTTTGGGTTGGCTAACCCAGAGGAATGGGAAGAGACAGAAGTTACAGAAGAGGCTCAGGAAAAGGCAGCAAGGAATAGGAGTGCAGACCTTGGCTGCTGACTAGAGAACCCCTGAGCTGGAACCTGGAGTAGAGGGCGGTCCCAAGTTCCCCTACCAGCTTCCGAGGAAATGGCACCTGGGCCAGCGAATGGGAAGATTGCCTGAGACTGCTGGCAATGAGATTTTGACCTATCCCCAGAAGGGGAACCACATAGTGGCCTGGCTGGAGATCTGAGTTATGAAAAAAGAGGCTGTAGCTCCTGGGAGAAGAAAGGGGCCACAGAGAGAGAAAGAGACAGAGTGATGGAGTGAGACCGCTGGAAGGCAGGTCAGCCTGACAGATAGTGCCGGCTCCAGCGTTTTGGCAGCCCCAAGCAGCCAAAAAAAAAAAGCCGCGATCGCGATCTGTGGCGGCAATTCGGCGGGAGGTCCTTCGCTCCGAGCGGGAGTGAGGGACCGTCCGCCGAATAGCTAGACGTGCTGCCCCTCTCCAGAGCAGCCGCCCCAAGCACCTGCTTGCCAGGCTCGTGCCTGGAGCTGGCCCTGCTGACAGAGCAAATCCCCAGAACCACCAGAAGGCATTGCAGCCCAGCAGTGAGTAAAGCCTCCCATCACACCATCAAAAAACTAAAACTGAATTTGCAAATGCTCCATGCACAGGGAGTGGCAGTCTGGGATCATCTGAAATGGAAGATTTGGTGATTGAAACAGAGAACAAAAGGCTGTGTAGGTATAGGCTGGGGGAGGGAAGGGGGAGATAAATTGGAAGTTCCCCTTCCTTGTTCCCTCCTCTGTCTCTTGCCCTCCTCTATGTTCTCCTCACCAAACAACAAATTAAAATAACAAACTATCATTTTAGTGACACCTTGTGCTAGGGTGACCAGATGTCCCATTTTTAAAGGGACAGTCCCATATTTAAGCCCTCCTGCGGGTGTCCTGACTTTTTCTTGAAAACAGGCAAATTGTCCTGTATCTTCCTCTTCCCCCCCTCCTCCATGAGTACTTGTGGGTCCTGCTGCTGGCCGGATCCCTGCTCACCAGCCGCCCACCCACCAATGGTGAGTGGGGGGTGGGGGCCGACAATGGGGGTTGATGCACAAGGTTGGTGGTGGTGGTGGGGGCGAAGGTGTAGTAAGCGGGGCTGGCTTCTCCCCTTGCTGGTCCGTCAGTGCAGCCCCTGCTTCATGCCAGGTCTCGGCCAGTGGGGCTCCACCCCTGTCCCATTTCCGGCCAGTGGGATGCAGCTCCCATCCCTTCCCTCCTGCACAGTGCCAAACACCTGCTGCTGGCCACATTCTGGTGTGAACCCTGGCAGAAATCTGGGGACGGGGGCCATGTGACCATGCGTGCCCCCCACACTCATTGCCTTGGAAAGACACAGTAGCAGGTACCAGGAGAGGCGGGTCCATCCCGGGGCCCCAGCCAGGCATGGAGGGCAGAGAGTGCTGGGCAGGGAGGGGAGGATTGGTCGGTCTCACACACACACACACACCATGTGAGAGAGATGTGCAGGAGTGTGTGTGTGTGTGTGTGTGTGTGTGTCTGTGTGTGTGTGTGTGACCTCTCCCCATGTGACCCCTAATGCCTTAAAGATAAGAAGGTAAATAAAAAGAGTCCAATTATGCAATATTTCTTTTTAACAGGGGCTCAGTCAACTTGATGTTAATTTGAACCTGATTGATTGCCGTTGAACTCACTTGAATACGAGTAATTTTACCAGGTGTCCTGTATTTAGCATAGGGAAATATGGTCACCCTACCTTGTGCTAATAATAGTCACTTTTCCCTGATAGCTACCCATACCACTGGAGACATATTCTGCTCTGATATTGTTAAATCCATTCTTGGCTAGTGCTCTTTTTGCCCAAATCCAGTCTATGCTTCTCTTTATGTGGGTTCCCCCCTGCAGTAGTCCAGAATTGGGAAAAATAACAAAAACCCTCTTCTTCTCTTCATGCATTTTCTCCTTGCTGAGCCTATGCAGCATCTCACACTGGAATCTCTCCTTCCATGTGATACCTTCATAAAGATGGTCAAACACAGATCCACAAAAGCCTCTCCCATTGTACCTTCCAGCAGTGGACTTGATTGGTCTGGTGTCCCAGACGAATAGCCAACAAGCTAAGCTATTGAACCACCGATTGGGACCAACTAATCAAGTCTTAAATAGCTGGAAACTACAGGTTTTGGAGAACTTTCAGGAGGACTGGGACATCCAGCAGCTCGGAATGAAGGTCACCTGCGATGTTTTATTCCATATTTAGATTTTCAACCCTTAAATAAGCCTCCAATTCAATAAAGAAAAAAATTAAAAATAATCAAGAAGTGTATCTAAATATTACTTTGAAATAAAATACTTACCAGAATAAGGCATCTTCCCATAGGTGATTATTTCAAAGAGAAGTATTCCAAATGACCACACATCAGACTTAATGCTGAATTTATTGCAGCGAATCGCTTCAGGGGCTGTCCATTTCACAGGGAGTTTCGTTTCATGTTTAGCTTCATATACATTTTCATTTTCTAACTATTACATACAAAACAAACCCAAGTTAGGATCTGATTCAGCAAAAGCACTTAAGCAGATGCTTAACTCAGCCCTGTTCAGTCAAGCACTTGAACTCAGTTGGACTAAAGTATGTGCTTACGTCTTTGTTGAACTGGGATCTTATAGATGAGAAACATCTTTGTTCAACAGAAGCTTTTCTAAGGCACTTGTAACTTCAAATGAGTACCCAGTATTGGAATGGCTTGTGCTTAATTATGGCCTGCTATTGTGAATTCTGAATCCGGCATGACAGGATTCCATAAGTCTGCCAGAAATCGCAGCACAAGCATCATATTGGCACTAGAGACTGCATGGTCAGACTGGCTTCGGGTCTGATCTTCTATAAATAGAGGAGGCAATAGCAAGCACTAATGCATTTAGAAACCTCTGTTTTGTGATTTACTGATGGCATTGAAGGGCTATTGACTGTGCTAATTACCTCGTCACCAGTTTTCAAGCACTGAAAGACAGACCCAAACTGATTTTAAATTAATATATTAGTTCAATGGATATATAAAAAAATACATGGAGAAATATTTTTAGTAATGGAAGTTCTCTGGGGTTAATCCTTTACTTTCCACAGACCCACATCTACAGAGTTTTATTGCATGGACATCCAACCTTTGGGAACATTTTAGGATGTTTCCAATGTTTAAATGGAATCTAGGACATATCATCCATATCTTAGCCTCTGTCAGGTTTTTTAACATGCAAATTTATTTACAGATTATGCAGATTTTAAATAATATTGTGAGTAATCTCAAAAATTGGATATGTTCTTTCCTTGGTATTATGTCCTACACTTCTTCATAAGATTATGTCTAGCAGTTAGCATCACAGACTTAGGCCCAGACCCTCAAAGATATTTAAGCACTTAGATACCTTGAGGATCAGGGCCTTCATTCTCATCTGTATAAACAAACTATGGTTTCAGTATATTAATGTATATGTTTACTATGCTTCACTTCCTCTTAGACTATAGAGGACTTTGTGTAGGCCCTCCTACACAAGTATTAGTACGGAACCTGAATCCACAATCTCTTGGCCTACTAATAAGAGTATTTCCAAATGAACACCATTGGGAATATATTATATGGTGACTAGTTTAGAAATGTTCAAGTTTAACAAGAAATTTCAGTAACTGTTGATTTCTCTCTCCACCTAAACACATACAGGAGAAAAATCCTTTATTAATACTCAAAATTCACATGTTCAGTTTAAAAAGAAATATATCTCAGGCTAAAAATATTCACAGTAGAGTCAAAAATGAGGAGGAGTACTTTCAGTGTCAGCTCAACATTTTATACCACAATAAGGGCATAATACCAGATCTATTATGAATCTCAACTTCTAGAACCATTGCACTTGGTATGAAAACCAATTGGCAACAAAAGTTCTTTTATCCTTCCCAGAGCAAAAATATAAATCAATTAAAATAAAAAATAAAAAAAACCAAAGTTTTGGATATTTTCAGCTACTTATTGAAATTCATAAAATCCCCTTTTAAACTGAAAAGCCATTTGTTTATTAATTTAACTCCCAGTGGCATCATGTTCAGTATGCCATAGTATACAATTTACTGAAACAGTAGAGAAAAACCTGATCTCAATGAGGAACTAAGAACGCAGAGAGTAGCATGTTTGAACTGCTGAGCCCGCACGTGGGAATGAGAGGGAGGAGGGACGTCTAGAGAGGCCTTGCTCTTTAGTGATGGCTACCTGCATTGCCGGGCCCTGCATCAGATGTCTGGGGAGGGAGGAGGGAAACAGCTGCCAAAGGGCTGCTACTCCCCCCACTCAAGCAGGTAGATGAGGTATGGGAAGAATCTTGATTCCATTTCTGTCCATTTCCCCCTCCCCCGCCCCTGAACCAACCACTACCCATTCAAAGGAAGAAGTAAGCTGTCAGCAAAAAAAGGCTAGCTAGCATACATAGGCAACAATTCCATGGGTGCTCCAGCCCTGGAGCACCACAAAAATTAGCGGGTGCTTAGCACCCACCGGCCTGCCAAGCTCTCCCTCCTCCCCCCAGTGTCTCCCGCCCACCGGCAGTCCCACCAATCAACTCCTTCCCCTCCCTCCCAGCACCTCCCAGCTGCTGTGATCAGCCATTCTGCGTCATGCAGGAGGCGCTGGGAGGGAGGGGGAAGAACGGGGACAGGACATGCTCAGGGAAGGGCGTGGAAAGAGGTGGGAAGGGGGTGAGGTGGGAGCAGGAAGAGGTGGGGCATTGGGGGAAGGGGTGGAGTGGGGGCGGGGCCATGGGTGGAGCAGGGGCAGAGGCTTGGGGGAAGGGGTGCAGTGGGGTCAGGGCTGGGGGCAGAGCAGGGGTGGGAAGAGGCAGGGTAGGGTGGGGGCTTAGGGGAAGGGGTGGGGGCGGGGGTGGGGCAGGGCCTCGGGCTAAGTGGGGGGTGGAGCACCCCCTGGGACAATTAGAAGTTGGCGTCTATGCTAGCATACCTCATTTCTCCTCAGCAAGAGGGAAGCAGGAAATGGATTGTGACTTTCAGGATCCAGCACTGCCTGCTACCCAGGCTGCAGTGTACAGTTACAATACAGTCCTAAATTAACATATCATTTTGTAGGGTATATTTACATTGCAAAAAAGGTGTGTTCTTAACTCAGGTTAGCTATCCCAGCCATGTTAACTAACTCAGGTTAAATCAGCAGTGAAGACATGGCAATTCCGCTTTGGCAATTTGAGTTAAAGCCTATAGGAGATCTTGGTTGAACTCAATCTGCTAACCAGAGCAAACAGACAAGATGCCTTGTCTTCACTGCTATTTTAATATGAGTTAGCTAAACTGAGTTCAGAACACATCCTTTTGTTTGCAATGTCGACACATCCTTCATTTTCTGAACCATTTTTTGCAAAGCTGGAGTTCATGCTAATTCTCATACATAAATAACAAAAAAAATCCAAACTCATCCAAACCCACCTTAAAAACTCTTGCAAGTCCAAAATCTGCCACTTTGTAAACATTGTGTTCGCCCACAAGGACATTCCTGGCCGCCAAATCCCGGTGGATATAGTTCTGGGATTCCAGGTAAGCCATACCTGAGGCAACCTGAGCTGCCATGTCTATTTGTTCAGGCAGATGGACTTGTGAACCTGCATCATCTGTATCGAAGAAAAAAGGTGGGATTATTGTCAATATTTACAATGTCTCTGTGAGTTCTCAAGTTATTGAAATGTGTCAGCTGTTGGGAAAGAATGGCCCATGTCTCCACTGTAAACCAAGAACATCAAGCTATGGAATAAAGTAGGAGTCCTAAAGAACGGTAAAGGTTAAGCAATTGTCTGTAAAGGTGTGAAGTTAGTTAGTTTCCCCTTGAAAAACAACCCCCATTCAGCATCCAGACGGAGCTCTTTTAAAAGAGCTAATAACTAATGCAGCAGTGGATCTGAGGGTATATCTCAGATGGTTCAGGCACCTCCCAACAAAGTGGCACCTACCTCTTTGTGGCAGTGTAGGTATTTGTCTTTCCAAGAGGCAAATCACCCATCTTAAAATGTGGTTAACAGTTAATATTTGTATTCACTTTTGGCAACCAAAGATTAATGGAGGGTGAGGCAGGGCCACACATGAGAACTAGTGTCCCCAGACAAGTCTGACATAAAAATTGACCGGCTACTGTCAAGTGTAAAAGCTTCATTTTATCTTTAGAATCCACCTGAGTGGTTCTTACTGTTAGCTATGTTGCCTCAGTGATAAGGTTCCTTGAGTTGCCCTTAAACTATGTCTTCTTTCATAGAATCTCCTGAAACAATATCTGTGCCATTTGTTAAGATCAACAGCTTCCTGAAATACTAATTTAGCTCAGTCAGAGATGGTGCTCAAACAAAGTGTTAAAAGACCCCTGAACAGAGCAGGCTGGCTCAATACATTAGGGAAAAAGCCTGAGTAACTTGAGACCATAAATGGCAAGGCAGGTACCAAAAGATGTCACTGATGAGTTACACATTACAACTCAGATTCAGGCCTTTTGTGGCATATTAGGCCAGATTAACTGCTGCTGGGGGAGAGACGAATTTAGACACTTCTGCACTCAGGGTGATTAACCCTGAAGGAGTGACCAACTCCTTGCTATATACAGTCATCACTCTTATGAGTGACATTTGAACCCAGGACCCACAGCATCAGAAGGATACGCACAAGTGCTTTACTGTAATAGGAAACATATCTGCATAGCATTTCACTTCTCCAAAAACTTTCCAAATTTGAATAGTCCAATGAGATACTGCTATCCCAGTCATGTTTGGTGCTCTCTTTGTATTAGGAATGTGGATTATCCTTCCTAGCTGCCTTGGCATTAAAGACAAAAAAATATCAGCTGCAGTTGGCAGTCTGCTGTGGCTAATGATGTCCCACTGATTCATAGTGACAGTGGATAGCACTGCCTTGAATCACTTTCTTCACTCCTGGCAGTTCATCTGCCTGAACATAGAGCACCTTGCAGCCGTGCTTTAGGAAGAGTGTTCCGCAGTATGGTGTGCCACTATACTCCACAATCTCTAAACCTTGAATTTCCTGCTGAAAGGCTGAATTTTAATGATTAAATTAGCCCTGCCTACTTCCTCTTTGAGGCTAAACTGATTGTCATGATAATCCAACACTGAGATTATTTCCTTCTATTATTGAATCAGAAACTCTTCTCCTCCCCCACACCCGTGTTTAACAGCAGCCATGACCTTTAAAACAGAGAGAAAAATCAAGCTACATGACAATTTACAGCTTAATGATACAACATCATGAAAATCTGTCAGCAGGTTGTAGAACCATATAACGCAGTGCAGTTCTGCATTTGTGGATACCAACAGACACTAACTCTTATTGTTCAGTCTGTTGGACAAGAAAATAGATCCATGAATGGAGTGTGTGGCAGTTCAGGAGCACACGATACCTAAAGTGGAGTGACTAGGAGGATGCATGTGTTTTGGAATTATTCTATGCTCTTCGGAGAGTCACAATTCCCTTCCTCATCACTTCCAGCTACACAGTGCCCCATACTCATCGCTGATTGTAAATGTATAACCCAGCCTTTGTTGATTTAGGTTTGTTATCAAGTACTTTTGAAAAAAATCATGATATTAATGCGAGACAATGCAGTCAAACTACAGGCACTGGCAAATAAATTTACAAAATCTACCCATGACTTATTCTCTACCATGTAAGGAAAATTTGACAGCTCCTCCTGTCCCTTGTTACTAACAATTTTAGACAAAACCATCTTTTATAAAGAATTTACTACAGGAAATGAAATATTGAAGAAAGCTCAGGGATGCATCGTGATCTCACCAATCAGTCACAATGTCTTATTCAATAGACAAAAGATAGGAGAGGTTCTCACTGACAGACATATTACCAGTGTGAAATTCAACATTAAATATTTCCCACATTTGAGACTGCAGGATTTGGTAAATCCTCGCCAAATATTAAGATTGCAACAACAGGGCCACTGCACATCACAACTGATACAAATATTAATACATTTAAGACAATTTAATTTATATCTGTAATATGAAAATATTGCTCTGTTGTGTTCCATTAATGTGCCTGGTGACAGCTCAATTAATAATAAATAATAATAAATAATACTTTAAATGTATCCAGCAGTGTTCATCAGGAAAGATCCTGAAGCACTTTAATAAACTATACATTAGGATTGCTTGCCCATCACTATAATACAGCCCCCTTCATAGTAAAACCTGACAGACCACTGTGCAGGAAACACTGCACAAAATGTTTGTTTTAAACCCCTCCCCACCCCTCAAAGAAATTGAAGAATACATTTTGAGGAGGGAGAATTTAGCCAGGGACAATGTGATCGCCTGATTTGCACTGTGCTGCATCATGCCATATTTACAACAGTATGTGGCCAGACTCAGTAACACACTGGAAATTACTATTTTTCCTGGCTATCGATGAACCTCTACCATTGTAGTCAACATCATTTCTTAAATGGTCAGGAATAGTGGGCAGAACTCTCTCCTGCACAAGTTATTCCCAGATAGAGGCATGTAAATTCCATGAGTTTCAACCCAGTTTCCTCACTATTTTTCCATCAAGAATGGTGAGGTTTCACCTGCAAATACCTGCATAGGAGACTAGGGTTGGGCTTTCACTTATTACACTTGCTTATCTCAGGTCAATGAACTGAAGGCATAGGTAAGGCTGTGAGTCTGTCACAGAGGTCACGGATTCCATGACTTTCCAGGACCTGTGTGACTTCTGCAGCCAGCAAATGCAACTGACCCCAGGGCTGCCTGAGAAGCTTGGGCAGCTTGGGACCAGCTGCAACAGCCCCCCTCCCCCAACAACATCAGTCCTGGGCCGCCCTCCATCAGCAGCGGCTGCCGTGGTTCCGGGCCCCCTGCCAACAACGTCGGTGACAGTCACAGGCCAGCGGGGCTGTCCCCCGCCAGCAGCAGCGACTGCAGTCCTGGGACAACAGGGCTGGCCCCTGCCAGCAGCAGCAGTCCTGGCTGCCCTCCCCAGCACCAGTGGACACACCAACGGGTGCCCCGGAGACATACCCCCCCAGCACCAGTGGGTGCCCCGGAGATACACACCCCCAGCACCAGCGGATGCCCAGAGCCCCCTCCAGAGCAGCAGCTGTGTCCCCGGATCCCCCAGAACACCAAAAATTTTGTCACCGGGAAATAGCACAAGTCATGGACAGGTCACGTGGCCGTGAATTTTTGTTTATTGCCCGTGACCTATCCATGACTTTTACTAAAAATGCCCATGACTAAATCTTAGCCTTAGGCATAGGACATCAACACAAAGCCCCAGGGTCACTATAAAGTGAATAAGACTCTAATGTAAATTCTGTCTCCACCCTCCCCAATTACTTTTAGGTTGTTTGGCAAGTCAATGGTTTCTAAACCCTTTTTGCCCCCCAATCCTAATAAATATTACAGCCTTCATATTAAATCAGAGCACTGCACTCTTCCCCTTTATTTAGTGCATTTACTAAACTGCAAGCTACAGTACTATCTGAAATTAGTTTTTAGTCTTTTGCTTACTTTGGAGGTATTCTAGCAGACTTCCATGTCTCATCAGCTCAGTAATAATATAAATTGGATCCTCTAAAGTGCAAACCGCATAGAGCTGAATAAGCTTTGGATGTCTAAGGTTCTTCATTATTTGTGCCTCCCTCAGGAAGTCCTTTGGATCCATTGAACCTGAGGCAAGAACAGAGAAAAAAAAATCAGCTGATGTTAAAGGTCCAGCCACCAGGTGGGAATCACTAAGATTATCTTCTGTCTCTTTGTAAAGCATATCAGCACCACAAACCTTCAGAGTAACCAGAGAAATGAATCAGTGCAGCTGAAAAAAACAACTAGTAAGTGAAACATGTCAATTGCCTGGGGGCACAGAACTCACGTGAACCCCCTGTAACATTTCACAAACCCCAGTTTGGGAACCACCGCTAGAGGGATAACCATGTACAGCTTAGATTTTATTATATATATATACACTATTTATATTATATATATATACACTATTTATACTTATTCCCTCTGGAATAAGTATAAATAGTGTCTATTGTTGGTTTGTCTATATATACTCCTTATGTTTTCTTTTAAGACTTACTTTTTATTTAGAAATAATAACAAACCTTGCTGTAGGGGCAGCTTTATGACCCGCAGGGCCCGATTCCAATATCCGGTGGCAGTCTGGGGCTTCAGCGGCACTTCGTGGCGGGGGTCTGCTCCGGGTCTTCCGCAGCACCAAAGGACCCCACCCCCCCCCCGCTGCCAAAATCCCACCGAAAACTCCCGGAGCGGACCCCCTGCCGCCGAAATGCCGCTGAAGACCCCCGGAGCAGGGCCCTCTTAGGTGCGGGGCCTGATTCCGGGGAATCGGGTGAATCGGCTTAAAGCCGGCCCTGCCTCGGTGTTTGATCCCCACAACCTTATAACTGTTGCATTATAGTTAATCATAATAAGCAGGTAGGAATTTAGCCAAAAACAATCTGTCTTCATTAATATACTAACCTGAGATATCTACCATAGCAGGATCAGCGAGATTGCCTGAGGTAGAAGTTGAGAAGTCTGTCACAGGGACTAGTCCCTGAGGGGGGTCAGGCACCCAGCATACCTGTAACGGGCTCCACTAAGGAGAATGAGCCAACTCAGATCCCCCTATGGGCCTAAGTAATTGGGTGACAAGGTGGGTGAGATAATATCCTTTATTGGACTGGCTTTCGTTGGAGAAAGAGACAAGCTTTAGAACTACACAAAGCTCTTCCTCAGGTCTGAGAAAGGTACTCAGAGTGTTACAGCTAAATACAAGGTGGAACAGATAGTTTAGCATAAGTCATTAGAACATATTCTAAGGGACCATTCAAGGTGAAGTGGCCTGTTAGCACCCCCGTAGTGATAGGACAGAAAGGGGGGTAAGTTGATTACAGGTTGTTGTAATAAGCCATAAATCCAGTGTCTTTATTAAGCACATGATTTTTAGTATCTAGCAAAGTTGTGAATTTAATCTTGCAGGCTCGTCTTTTGAAAGTGTTGTGCAGGTTTCCTTTGAGGATGAGAGCTGACAGGTCAGATTTAGAGTGACCGTTTTGTGCTAAGTGTTCACCTACAGGTGATAGGGTGTCTTTGTCTTTTATAATTTTTCTGCGTGAGTTCATTCAAGAACGTAGTGATTGTCTGGTTTCACACACATAGAACCTAAGTAACAGGGTGACAGTTAATTAAATAAGGAGTACGTGGACCTACTACAGCTTATGAGGGCTCAGTCAGGAAATCCAGAAAAGAAGAACTTCCTGAGGAGAGACGTTCCTCAGGGAGCTGGACAGGAAGCTACACCCCGTGGTGTCTTCCTAAAGAACAGAGGCTCATGGAAGAAGGAAGAGGCCCAGAGAGAAAGTGTTCCCAGGCAAGGGACCAAAGCATCCCAAGGGAATGAACTACGCATGGAACCTCCTGGGGAGTCACTAGGGACTGTCTCAGCAAAGAACAACACATTGGGGGGCAAGGGGATAGAGACACTGGCATCTGGCTGAACACCCAGCAGAGACCCAAACTCCTGGCAGGGAATCCAGCCTGGGAGTGCTTCAGGGCTAGAGGGACTAAAACATAAAAATTATTATTGCAGGGGCAGAGTTCCAGTGGAGTATCTGATTGAAGCTTTCATTTTGTTTCATATTGTCGTTTCCTGTTAAATAAATGAAACCCTCTGAAGAGGGTGCTCTTTAATATTGAAAAGCCTTCTTTGACTTATTTATGCCCAGGGTGTGGGGAAGCTGAGACAGGGGCTCACCTGCCGACCACCAGAGTGACCTCCATGCTATTTACAAAGTCTCAGAAACAAAGTAAAATTTGCCCAATAAAAATAAACAGAAATGATTGTTGCACTCAGTTTTGGTTAGAAGGATCCTCTGGTAAATAAATTGCAATGGGTTTCTTTGAGGAATATCACAGAGACTAAATATTATTGACATGCTGTATGTCAAGTAGTTGGGATGAACTGAAGAAGATAAAACAAGAGAGTGTGCCGAGGAAATGGATAAAAGGAATTTCAGAAGCAGACAATTGTCCTTGAGGTAGTAATGTCATAGGAATGGTTTCAGGGAAGATGGAGGTAGCTAGTCTGAGAGAGATTATTATTATTGTTACAGTAGTGCCTAGAGGGCCCATTGAGCTCAGTAAGGTATAGACAGATACTAAGAGACAATCCCATTCCCAAAGACTTTACAATCTAAAAAGACAAAGGTTGGGAGGGGAAACAGACAAAGAGAGGTAAAGTGACTTGCCCAAGATCACACAGCAGTTCATTGGCAGAGCCAGGAATAGCAACATCATCTCTTGGCTAGTGCCCTAACCACTGGAGTATACTGTGTCTCAGATACCCGATGGACAGTTGGAATCAATAAGACCAGACTGTGGAGTGAACAATAACTTAACGACTTACTGCATTCACTGTCCAAGAAGGCACTACTTTGTTCTGCTGCATCTCTGCAAGAAAGCCTGCTGAGTATCTGTTGCAACTCTTTCCCTGTAAGTGCCTAAAAAGTCACAGACTCTGTTAGGCAGAGTCAAAGATAAAGAAACATATAAGGGAGCAAATAAGGAAATCTCTGAAGAAAGAAACTGCTTCTACTATGTTTCTTTGAGAGTTGTTGTGATTACTGCTTGTTTCAACAAAATTCTGTAGTTCTCGGCTGACTGGCCTAAAGGCAAGTCGGCATAATCATTGTGGCCTGGAAACAATAATGTGACAAGGGAACCCTTATTTCCCAGCTGTAGTGTCATTCATGGGCTGACAAAACCCTCATTGCCAGAAGCCTGAACATTGCTGTTCTTGGCCTGCGTCTTGTAGTCCCTTTCAACGCAAGATGGTTTATGCTTGTGCACCTGCATGCCCCCAGTAGACACTTTGTCTTTCTCTGTACAATGTAAATAGTTACAAGAATGTGTGGCTAAAACTTTCATCTGAGGTCTTAAGTGACTGTGTTTTCAGTCATGCCCCAATAAACCTTCTTTGTCTTCCTGTCTGTCCAATATACATTGCCTTCTGAGATCAGAGAGATTGCATTAAAAACCAGGATTGAAGTGAAAAACGTTGACAAATGTTCTCCTCAGGTTTTACTCTTGGGCAGTACTATTTTCAGTGAACAAGGCTAATTTTGGCCAGGAAATAGATTTGCCATCTCATAGGAAAGAAAATAAAAATGGTCTGGACAATAGCAGGGAGTGGCCAACACAGCAGAGTTGGTGTCAAAGCAGTGTATAAACAGTTGTGAAAAATAACATGACAGCTTATGCTAACTTCACAAATGAGGCTGGCACCAAATAAAAGAATTTCAAATAGTGATGAATTAATAAAAAATATTAAAGAGGTTTCATAAGCCTCTGTATTACTTTAATCCAGGGGTCGGCAACCTTTCAGAAGTGGTGTGCCGAGTCTTCATTAATTCACTGTAATTTAAGATTTCACGTGCCAGTAATACATTTTAATGTTTTTAAAAGGTCTCTTTCTATAAGCCTGTAATATATAATTAACTATTGTTATATGTAAAGTAAATAAGGTTTTTAAAATGTTTAAGATGATTCATTTAAATTAAATTAAAATGCAGAGCCCCCCAGACCGGTGGCCAGGACCCAGGCAGTGTGAGCGCCGCTAAAAATCAGCTCACGTGCCGCCTTTGGGACACGTGCCATAGGTTGCCTACCCCTGCTTTAATCAAAAGCCTCCAGTTTAAATAGGAATCTTCTGACTCCTTCAGTGAGGATAATAGAAACCCTGTGTTAATGTAAAGACTATAGACAAATCATCTTCACATTTTGAAGGGCTCCATAATCCACCATTGGCAGGATCAGAAATCAGTTTCCAAATGGTCAGGAAAAACTGATTCAGAATCCATATGGATTCATCTTCTGATCCTCCTAATAGTTCAACACTGCAATTTCTATTATCACCTTTAACTCCTCCCCCCTTCCCTCTGGAGACACTGTTACTTCTTTATCTTTTATTCTATTGATAGCTTTTTTCCCCCTTCATTACTAAACAATAGACGTGTGACAATTTGGAGAATTCGTCTGTACAATTTATGAATTCTGGTTGGTGTTACAAAGTAATAAGTATGAAATTATTGTATCCAGGAGTTCCTCTATATAGAAGTGGAATTGACCACTTGCTGACATAGGGTACAGCATGTGCCTACCAAACCAGGGACAATGGGTGATTTTGAAACCTTAACTACTCTGACCAAACAATGGGTATGCTAAGGAGCTGAAGCTAGTTGCTCCAATTTGTCTGCATGATGGGGAGAGTGAAAAGAGTGAAAAATTCCGAAACAAGACAAAGGGACAGAGGAGGCAAAGCAAGGAGGAATAAGGGGAAAGGTTTTTCAGAGGCAGGAGAGAGGAAGAGAACTGGCATGCTTTCGTAGAAGGGAGCTCTGGTGTAACAGCAGTACCAGACAAGGTCAGAAAATCTAGCTGTGCTAGAGAAGGCTCCATGATTCTGAGGAGAAACTGAGTTGCAAGGGAAGGATCCCAGATACCCCAGAGGATTATGCCCAAGCCCCAAAAACTACAGAGTGGTGAGGAAACTGAGGCAGAGAAAGTATATACAGGTGTGTTTATTATTTTATCTAGATCTGTGTATAGCTCGTGCTGTTAAGTAAAGAGCAATTGTGTTTTAGAATCCTGTGCATAGTTTGTGT